TGCTTCTGTAGCACTTGCTTATCTATGGCCTTGCAGGTGGTGTGTAGTGTCTGGGATTCAGGGAACCGTGGGAGCGCTTTCAGTTCCCAGCTTCGGCTCTAACGGCCTGGGGCTCCTTCTCCCGTGCGTGGGAATGTGGCTAATTGGCCTAAGGAAGGGTGTGTGTGCATACGAATACCCCTACATTATGCTTGTAGGGGCGACGCCATTCTTAACAGTGACTTTGTTGCTGCATCTATAGCTCTGCAATAAAGTATGACCTTTCTGATAAGCGTGTACTCAGTTGTTGGCTGTGGAATCTGACGCAAACCTCTTCTATTTTGTCAGAAACCAGTCCAATCCCCCAAGCCCTGCCACTGCATTTCTCCTCCTCGCCTCCTTAGCCTTTGCTACAGACCCTGCTGTTGCTCATCTGCGAACAATCCACCTCTCAGCGAGAGCTTCTCAAGGTTACTTCATACATCACAGCTCCCATGAAGGATCCCTGACGTGAAGCTACATTATACCGAATCAGGCCATTGGTCTATCAGTATCAGTGCCCGACTGCAGCTCTCCAGGGTCTGAGGCAGAGGGTCGTTCTCATCGCTCTCCACCTGATCCTTTTAGCGAGAGATGCTGGGGACTGAAGCTGGGACCTTCTGCATGCCCAGCAGGTGCTCTGCCATTGAGAAACGAGGGGCCACGGCTCCTTCCCAGCACCTGTAACCTTCATACCGAACGTGTCTGTGTTCACGGGAACACACACAAAGCTGCCTAAGAGCAAGTCAGATCACTGCTCGATCAAGGCCAGTGTTTTGTACATTGACTGGCAACGACTCTCCGGACGGAGATCTTTCGCATCATCTGTTTAGCGGGTGTCACATCACGTGCATCATCTGCTCTTAGCTGGAGATCCCAGGGACTGAACCTGGGGCCTTCTGCATGGGAAGCAGATGTTCTATCACTGAGCCACAGCCTCCCCCTACCATGGCTCCCCACAGCCCCTATGTAGCCCACAGCTGGACCAAGCATTATAGTCATACAGTAAACCACTGTCTTGTGAAAGCTCCATTTCGTAGCCTCTACAGGATGGCCATCGTATAACTGCTGATTATTTCTCCTGTCTTCCCCACAGACAAACATGAAGGCAAGCATAACATTTTAAGTCTGGCGGCGGGGACCTGAAAGTACTTTCCCTGCCCTGAATATGCAGGTACAGTTTTCTGCCCTAAAGTGAGCTTTGAAATTGACATTTCTGCAAATTTCCACTCCACCGAGGAAAAAAATAGTGATGGGAAACTACTGGCTAGTGCCTATATCTTCACCAACCAACATTCCCTTCCCTTATCCCCTTCTCCTTGTGACTGCTTTGCAGTGCTTTTAAAATGTGTGGAGGGGGAGATAAGGTGAAGGCTGATACAGACATATATGCAAGTATATTTAGAGAGACAGACATTTTCCCAAGAGATGTCTGTGTCTTTAAACATGTTTACATATCTATAAGTCAGCCTTCACCTTACCCTCTCCCCATCAAATCAACCCTTGAATATTTTTAAAATATCTTGAGCTTATGAATGGCTGTATGTAAACAAGGACCCATCAGCAACTGAAGCAGAACCATCAGAAGTGAATATGCCTTTAAAAACATTTCTTTGGCTTAGAAAAACTAAAAGAAAAAAAGTGTATTGTTTTAATAACCTTATTATAAATAATATTTTGCATTGGTCGAACACCTATAGAAACAAGCTATCACCAGATGTTTCACCATTTGCTTCTGTTGTAAAGGACCTACATGATCTACGACATTATCAGTCAGGGGCCCTATGTAAATGGGAGAAACTAGATTTGGACATTCATAGGTCCCCAATTCTCGATAACAGAATGATCACATTTCATCAAATTTTTGAGTTCCTCCAGATGAGAAATTTTCAATCTAGTTTAATCAACAGGAATGTGATTCATAGACAGCATATTGAATTTGAAAAATTATTAGAGCAAGAACACAAGCATCTGTTATCCAGATTCTGTAGCGCATTAATTAGAACCAGGTATAGTCCTACTTTTCAACAAGAAATGGAACAAGGCTGTAGGCCATGCAATTCCAGATGAAGTCTGGAACTATATCTTATACGAAGGCAACAGTTTTTCATTGTGCCTATCATTCAAAGAAAATATTAAGAAAACGGTGCACCAGTGCGCCCCCCCCCCCCAATAATCCAACATTTAAAAGCAGGTACAGACCAGTGTTGGCACTATAAAATTCTCAGGGCTGATTTTATGCACATGTGGTGGCGGTGTTCATGTGCAACTGAATTCTGGGGCAAAATTGTGAAAACAATAAAACCTGGGCTCAAAACAGATCATCCGCTAAAACCAGAGACAGCCCTTCTTACCTATATGGCAATGGCCTCAAGGAAATCTCAAGATGATTCTCTGAAATGTGATTACATTGGCTCATCTGAACACACATGAATCCGCGTTATGCTTGGTCCCTCGGGGCCAGTACTGTCTACTTAGACTGGCAGTGGCTCTCCAGGGTCTCAAGCAAAGGTCACCTACTACCTGACCCCTTTTAACTGGAGATTCCTGGGACTGAGCCAGGATCTTCTGCAAGCCAAACAGTTGCTCTGCCATTGAGCCACAGCCTCTTCCCATAAAACCTGGTGTTCGCAAGATACTGGAAATAATCACCTTTCCCAAGTATGCAGCTATGGGTGGGAAAACTAAAGGACTTGTCAGTGAGGATTAAACTAACTTGTTTACAGATGATAAGAACATAAGCTGACAGGAAGGAAGCTGATTCATTTGAAATGTGGTGCTGGAGGAGCGTTGTAACTCTGGCTCATGCTGAAGATGCTAAACAAAACTAGATACAGGGGTCATTTCCTGCAGGAGTGCACAGGAGCGGAGCTCCGGCAGTAAAAAGGCCAGAGGGCGGGAATATGGAAGAAGCCCCGCCCCCTGCTCCCAGCAGCCCCGGGCCACGGGGAGCAAGAAGCAGCCAGGTAAGCTGCAGTGGGTGTTGCCTTCTGACACACTTCTGGTGATGTCAGGAAGTGTGGCATATGCAAATAAGTTATCCTAATGAGTTATGCTAGTGAGCTTCTGCACCTCTTTTTCTACGAAATGACCCCTGACTAGATACATTCTATATCCCCTTCTCTCTTTCTTTTTTAATTTTTATTTTACAACATAAGCAACATATACAACAAACAGTTCACAATAAACTTTGTTTAAAAGTAGATCGTATCATGATACAGAGTGTTCCTTGGAAGAATATCTTTATCCATTAAGTAACTTATAATTGGAAACCAAAGTGATGCCACTTTTTTCTCATATTGTGTAGCAGAGTTTTTATACAAATTAAATGATAATTTACTCAAAATAAAATAGTCCCATAAGTTATGCTAATGAGCATCTGCACCTCTTTTTCTACAAAATGACCCCTGACTAGATACATTCTATATCCCCTTCTCTCTCTCTTTTTTAATTTATAATTTTTATTTTACAACATAAGCAACATATACAACAAACAGTTCACAATAAACTTTGTTTAAAAGTAGATCGTATCATGATACAGAGTGTTCCTTGGAAGAATATCTTTATCCATTAAGTAACTTATAATTGGAAACCAAACTGATACCACTTTTTTCTCATCTTGTGTAGCAGAGTTTTTACACAAATTAAATGATAATTTCCTCAAAATAAAATAGTCCCGTATCTTTATGAGCCATTGTTTCACTGTAGGAGGTTTTTCTCCTATCCATTCTATTGCTATCATTGATTTTGCTATTGTTAGCAGTAGAGAAGCAGTTTCCCTCTATGTTAATGTCATTTGGTTTGTATCCCATTTTCCCAGCAATATCACTTCTGGTTTTTGAGGTATTTGTATAGATATCATTTCTTTAAGCACCTTAAGTACTTCTTCCCAAAATTTTTGCATCATTTTACACAGCCACCAACAGTGTAGGTAATCTGCTAATGGACCACATTGTTTTAGACATCTAGGAGAGTGTCCAGAATTTATTCTATGTCGTAATACAGGTGTAACTTGCCATCTAATCAGTATTTTGAATGCTTGCCATTTAACTGTGATGATTTTTTATATTTGACTAGGGGCAGCATATCCCCTTCTCAAGAAAAGGAACATGATTCTCAGTTAATCATAACATTGAGCAACTATGAAAAGCCTGAAAAAAACCATCACTACACCATAATACAGGCATACGTTCTATGTCATAGAGATCTAGGATAGCCATGTTTCAGTTCCTATGTACAGACAGCATGGCTGTTGGTATATAAGTGATTATTTTGCTTTAAACATTAATTGGCTTCTGCCTCAGCAATAAGTAAATAGATTATTCTTCATCATGCCCACACAAGCAAGGGAACACCACTCCAGTTACTTTTTATAACATTTTTGCAGATGCTCCTCATACGGTGAAATATTTCAAGACTTCCTATCTTAGACAACATGATGAACCTTCCTGATGCTTTAAAAGGGCACCCTCTTCGAAATGACTCTGTCCCAGAAATATCAATTAACGTAGCCATGTTTTTACAATCAGCAATAAAGCTACGCCAGGAAAACTACCAATGAGTAATTGTTTTATGCAACACTATGCAATGTTATGTAGTCGGTAAAATGCTCGGCTCTATATGGTTTTAATATTTTAAATGTAATTTTTATTCAAATGTAATTTCCTTTTTTATAGTAATCCTCTTTCAAGGTATTTTTATGCCAATAAAGGTTAACTGAACTGACTTCTATACGAACTCTTTATCCCACTGACAGGTGCATGTATGGATGTGTGTGTGTGTATAGCGTGTCAGAGTTCTAAGCTCTTTAAATCCGCGTGCGTGTATTCCTTCTGACAGATGTTGGCTGTTTTTTTTTAAAGGCAGGAATACAAGCATCTTGATCAATTTCACACCTCACGTTTCACGCTTCAAAAGCTGCAATTCTTTCCCCACTATGTTTCACACCACCTCCAAACAAAGTTCGGCTAACTCCCACTTACCTTCCATAAGCAAACCGTCTGTCTTTGTGGTGATCTCCAAATGTGTCCCACAGCCTGAGAGAAACGCTCACTTCATCAACAACATCCCGAGACCGTTCAAGGACCTGAAAAAGGCAGATTTCTACTAATAAAATGCATGTACAATTCCATGAAAAAAAGCTCTGAACATTATGATACTGCAAGACATAATGAAAGTCTCAGTTCAGACTTCAGACAGTTTATAAACTGTGGTTTGGTGCAATGCTTGAATTGAAAAATCATAGTTAGGACCATCACCTTCAGACGCTGCTGTACCACGGAGATGGGAATGAATTTATGAAGCTGAATGCCAGGATGAAAGAAAGTGAAGCCAGCCAATCAGCTTAACTGGTTACCTTTAGTACATTTTGGAGTTCAGATTGTGGCCTGGGCCCTAAACGACCCCTTGCACAAGCTACGGTTTGGCATATGGTATTATGCACTTTAAATTGACTTCACAAAAAAAATTGATTATGGAATGTTTTATTTTAACATGATGAATAAAATATTTTAAGACAAGGTGTTCAAATATTTTCCAAATAATTTCAGATTGATCTAATTTCTGTGCACTGAGGACAAGCCAGTCCTAGGTTACAAACTGAACTCTCCAATGCAAGAACAAGATGCATTTCTTCCTTTAGGAGGTGCTATTGTCAGAAGAAAATAAAAAGGTTTCAGGTTTGTTTTTGCATGTGGATGGGTATTCTGTTTGTAATAATTGTTTGGATACACTATATTTTTAATATGCTAGTTGTGATAATTTCATGCCAAGTAAAAATGTCCATAGTCATATTTTATGTTCCTAAAGTAACAGAATGACTTTCAATCTAGAAAAGACAAAAGAAATGCTAATGTAGCATTTTTTCAATTTTTCCGAAAATTTCCGTTTCCCCCCGAAAAAAACGGGGGAAAAAATGGGGTTTTTTCCGAGCTTCAAAATTTCCGGAAATTTTACATCTCTAGACCAGATACCAGCAGGCTCCTGCACAACTGTAAAGAAGAGGAAATTCTGACAGGTGGTTCTTCCCTGTAGCACTGGGACATGACCTGTTGCATCTGCTGAAATTTTTGTTTCTAAGCAACTACTTCTAACTACAGCGTCTTTAACCTTTATTGCATTTCATCGCTCACTGAGACTAGGAGCTGGAAAGAAAAGTTCTAAGCAACTACTTCTAACTACAGCGTCATATTGCATTTCATCGCTCACTGAGACAAGGAGCTGGAAAGAAGAGGATAACGAACCAAAACAGGCACGCTACATCGCACTGAGACATATCACTGAACAGCAGTGTCCTAGAACTGGACAAACAGATAGCTCTTTAAAAATTAACCCTAGGAAGAAAAATACGTTCAGACATAAAGCAACTACATGGAACACACACAAACTGTAAGACAAAGTATCCTAAGACAACGTCGACACCGCATTATGAGATGTGCCTTTGGGATGACGCGGCCCAGTGATCTCTATGATCTATAAACACCGATGTGAAGACAGTCCATTGGCCCATTTCAAATTACTCCTTCCTGGCATTTGCACACCCAAACGTGCCACTTCGCCAGTGCTTAGAGCCCATTACGGACTGATGTGAAGGCAAACCCACTGATCTAGAATGAACATATTGGTTGATACCTACCTCTTGGCAGACCCGGTACTGATCAATTGCCCAGACAGTAGGTACGTGAGTTGCCAGGAGCTGGTACTGGGTCAGGGTGGTGTTGCACGCCCTTGCGCAGATCAAGCGTGTTTTGCCCACGGCGTTGTCCCCAACAACCACGCACTTGATGGTCTCAACGTTAGGCCTTTCGTAGTCCATGTCAGCATCCATCTACCGGCGACTGCAACAAGACAACAGGCATGGGTTTCTCAAAGGGTTCCTGCTCTTCAAATTGGGGTGCTGCTATTTCAGTATGCTCAAAGGTGAGAGTGAAGCTCAGGCTGAACAGCATGATCACCACGGTCTAATTTATATACCACACTTGGGTTAGCCAAACCCAAACAGCGGTCTTGACCTTGAATGTGTTCCTTCCCACTAACAGTGTTATTTTCTGCTTGGTTTTCTGTAAACACAAGTCGCTTCAAAGGAGAGGAAGCATGGCAGGACCAGGGCTGCTGGCTGGACTGGGTGGCAGGAGACTTAAGCCTTACGGCTGAGTCCCGCTTTATGAGTCACTCCTGTTACACCCGCATTCCGTTCCAAACGGGAAACAAAACGAGCGAGGTGTTTTTCAATGCACCTTTATTAACATACTGTTTTGTGTTTGGTTTTTATAAAGCTATAAAAACAAACAGCTTTCGGAATCACAAGGGGATGGGGACAGAAAAACAGAAACAAGAACACGTGGAATTCTGGAGTTAACCAGATTTGTGGCACGGAAAGAAAAACTGATAGAGATCAAGAAGTCTTGATTGGTTTAATAAATCTGCCCCATTTTGTGCCTTTTAAAAATATACAATCTGCATACCTAACTCAGTCAGAATGTACAGTTTACACATGTAACTCGATTAATAACGGAAGTCCTCAAAATATCAAAGAGGACAATTACTTTTCAGTTATACAGTAAGTTTCATAATAAACTTCTTTAACTTTCTCTGACTATTCTTGTGTATCTGGTATCAAATTTTGCATCCAGTACCACACCAAAACAAATCTAGCAGAAGTAACAAAATTTAAATGAATTTCCTGACATTTTACAGGAAACTTTACTAAAAAGATTTCAGATTTAAAGTCATATTTCCTCACTTTTTCACTTATATCAGTCCAGTAATTTGCAGCCCATGGACAATGGACAATGCCACCCCATATGAAGGAAGCACCACAGGAAAGTGACAATAGAAAGTGACAATAGCCACACAGATGTTATACATCTTTGCAAGCTACTTGGGAGTGAGATAAATTTCTCTTTAAAATTCAAAGATACAGTAAAAGACGTTCCTTGAGACAGAATTCAACATATTGCATTCTAGAGTAGATCAGATTTGCAGAACAAGAAAAAACAGCTATCAAGAATTTTAATCGCAGATTATTCGTTTTTAAAGTATGTGTGAACACAGCTGCCTTGTACTAAGAAAGACCACCGGGCCCATCTAGCTGAGTACTGTCTATGCAGACTAGCAAGGAGTCTTGGGCAAAGAAAGTAGGTTTCACCTTCCCATATTTGTTGTGGGGAATGCTAGTGCAATTGTTGTCCCCCATTCACATTGTACAGTGGATGCTTTATTTTTCTTTATATGTGTGTTGACTAATCCTCATGTTATAGTCAAAACATGTACAGCTGAACATGTGATTCAAAGGCCACAATTATCCAGGTACTGGTTCCTGATTTCATTCGTAAAGCGAAGATGTGTTGGCTCTTTATTACAAAGAGATGTACGCACGAACAGGTAGGATGTACGTGTGAACACTGTAACATGTGAATAGGGCTTGTGTGAAGACGGCTGTCAGTACAGAATAAAAATTTAGAGAAAGACTCTACACACCCAGCTTTCAAGTATATATAACTGCTTGTGAACTGTGCCATTGAGAGTCAATGTTAAGCTTCGCCCTGGGCTAGGACCCTAATGTAACCAATAGGAGCTCTAGCCCAGAATGTGTCTGCCAATCAGCTTGCAGAGCGGGATCACTCCTGATTGGACGTTATCTCTTCAACCTCATAGGTTGTATTACTGTACAGTGGGTGTGGCTACATTAGCCGGGAATGTTTAAATACAGAGCAGCCAGTGTATATTTTGACTTGACTTGACTACTGATGGGTTCTGGCTGGCGATTGTTGTACCGTGTTGGAGAAGTAACTGAGCTGAAGAATAAAAACCGCATTCTTGCTGAAATCACTCTCCGACTCTTTGTTAAGTTCGAGACTTAACAGTAAGTACCGTATTTTTCGGACCATAAGACGCACCTGACCATAAGACACACCTAGTTTTTAGAGGAGGAAAACAGGGAAAAAAATATTCTGAACCCTGGGGCTCAGTATTCAGTCCATAAGACGCACACACTTTTCCCCTCACTTTTTTTGGAAGAAAAAGTGCATCTTATGGTCCAAAAAATACGGTATTTCTTTACAAGCAGAGCATAGCGGAAGCAAACAGGCATTCCT